TTGGATAGTTTTACTAGTATTATGCAGTAAAAATGAAGTTGTCAAAAAATCCTGGGGTGACATTTTCCAATTTCGGACACACATGGAATAATGAAATTCTGATCCTGTACGAGAAAAAAAAACTGTCGCGCACCCCTCTAAATTATGACCCCTGCAGTAGGGTACGGTACGTACGATAATTTAGACGTCTACTTTATTTTTCTGTGCGCTAATCTTTTCGCGCCATTTTTGTATTTTTTCTTTTTTAATATGCGTYAAGTTCGTACTGAAGCGTATTGTAGACCGTTCTTTTTCATCTTCGTAGTACTAGTTATGTCGTGTACCGGTACTCAAGCGTACCGGCAGATATGACGGTACGTAATGTTAGACTATTTTAGGGTTCGATAGCACAGCGGTAGCTGTACGAATCGATAGTGCTATTCGTAATTCATCTACGCTCATTACGACTTGGCTAAGTTGCCAGTACCAACCGGCCGGTACTGCGTTCGTACTCGTASATAGCAACACGGTATCGTAGCACAGAAAGAAAATCAACAATGCGTTCTCCTGTGCTTCATGAAAATAGACAACCGGTAAAGCACCGTCACTAAACTTCATCTCATATCTCAGTTCCAACTTGTATCAGTTTCGGTTGCCTTCACCGAGCCTCCTACCGATACAAACCTCCACCCTTGCCACTTTGTAATAGTTCGAACTATACGAGATGGGAATCAGCGCGAAGCTAAACAATCCCCGACACAACGAGAAGACGAGCGACCTATCGCAACTCTCGTCGTCTGCGACCAAGGGAAATTACCAGAAGGTCGGTAGCAATTCTCTAAAGAAAATCAAATTCCATTCCAAGTCATGCGAAGACGCCTTGAAGCAAGAGAGGGTTTTCCACAAGCTAGATCCGAAGAACCCCCAACACGCTCACAAAATCAATCAGAGACGAAAGGCCATCGCCAAGGGCAAGAACACGATTGGATATGACATCTACTGTCGCACCATACCGAAAGACAAACGCCAGAAACGATCAATGATTACCCCTTCCACTCCAGATCACAAGTTGGATATACCGAATAAAAAATGGAATGGCATGGTGCGATCTTGGTATGTATCATAGAAACTCGTATGTTCTTCTTTTCTTACAAATCTGGCACGTTCTCGTCACTGCATCATTTTTCGCCTACTGAAATCTCATTGACASGAACATTTTTTYCCCTTGCGTTCCGAACATTTGTTCTCATTGATCTCCCAACGCGCAATGAATCATTTCACAAAAGGCGTATTGCATTACACCGTTACGACCCAGTAGACTTGCGTGAGTCCTTTGCCGCGACCMAAGAAGTCCTGAAGGCAGAAAGCCAGGACGTTTCGCGGTCCACTCCTACCGGCGCAGAAAARCCGGCCATGACGGTGAAAGAAATGGAAATTGCGAACTCCGGGCTTCAGAACCTTGTGCAAGTGACACCAAACAGCAAGGACAAAGATAACTGCAATTCGCCCTCACGACAGCTGGAGTTGTTTTCGCCCACTGTCTCCTCACCGAAAGAAAACAATTSTCTTGGTACGTGGCAAGGAGGTCTTTTGTCAGAATTGAATCGGTGGGAGACAAAGAGRCAAGAAGAGGAAGAAGAAATTGTGTTTTTCTCCGGGGGAGAGGATGATGACAATGACAGCGATGATGATTTACTTTAGTTACCGTACGTCCTCAGTGGAACACAATCAATAAGCTTTGTAAAACATAGCGAAACGTAWTTTCTCTGTGGATGATCAACGAGTTGACAAAAGCTGTTACTAGCCAGTATCGTTGAACAGATTTACGGAAAGCCMATGTTGTCACGGGTGTAAAAATAGACCTCTGGTAGCTACAATAATAATAATAATAATAAGAATAGCGTAACTTACTTTAATATGAAAATATTAAGTTTCGTTCTACACCACAACATGCCGATTCAGTAACAAATAGTGACATAGTTGTCTCCTCTCTCACGTATCTTTAAAAAACATTTGATGACAACACTCGGGTCCCAAATGTTGTTTGCCAGATTGATCATCGAGATTCATCGACCCATCTACCAGGGAAATGTATGCACCTGCGAAATCCAAGATTTTAGATCTGGTACTCCTGTCAAAGAGAGACGCCACTACCGCAGGCATAAACCAATCCAAACACTAGTAGAAGTAAATCAAATGAACCCAAAATCCCCGAAAGAGTATCAAAAGTACTCATTCTCGCCTCCAAAATCCTTCCATCATTTCAAGGATAAATTCCAYCCCACCCCAAGCCATCATACATAATCCGAAATGAACCCCATTCGAATCAAAATTCTAGAATTCAATGTCCGTCATTCTTAAAGKATGTCCCAGCACCKTACAAAATCCAGWTTTTACAGCAAGAGTTGTTCGATCTTGATTTTCATACCATCAATCGTGCTCTTAAGCTGGGATGCTTCGTTTGTAGTAATAGAGCAAGAAATCACCGGACGAGACACTCCACAAGCGCGTCCAAGAGCTACTTTACTGTTTGCGGGAAGTGAAAAAAAGGTAAACGAGAAAAATAAAATTACGTGAGAGGCAATCTTCTAACATTTTTGTCTGTCACGTATTTTGGTGACACTTCACATACCTAGGGACAAAGACATATGGAACATTCTTATCTTCACACAAGAGAGGTAAATGAAGCARAATTTCGATGGGCTCGGCATCCGCTGCCATGATAATAAGCTCAGAAATACCGCGATTCAAAGTCTTCGTAGCTTCGTTGGCTCCTTTCTTGGTTTGCTTGTAGTTGGTTGCTTGTTGGACAAGGTCCAAGAGGGCGACCGTCAAGTCGGCATCTGCAAGGGGGAAAGCTTTCTCGGACATTTTGGTTTCTTAGGTCTTGCAAAGAGATAGATGGTTTTCTACGGTTCAAATTCGAAATSAATGGCAGTTTTGATGTCAAAGAAAGGCGATGTGATGGTTAGAGAGCAACTGGATCTTCCAGGATTACTGTTGACCGGTGTTTCGGTGGCTGATGGCTCGCTGGAAACATTCGTGACTGATTTTATATTTTCAATCACTGAAGAGAAACTGATGGYGGTGGCAGGCGTGAGCCGATCGAGGACAGACGTTCAACTAATTCTAGCAAAACTAGACTGAATCCCGAGTAGATAGTGAGTAAGCAATTACATTACTACTCTCACCAGAAYAAACTTTTATGCAGCAAGGGCACAACGCAATAATGATTTTCACCTTATTAAAACTAACTCTTAATATAACAATAGAATATCCCTAGTTAAAATATTTGGGAAAAATAAGATAGTATTTTATCAATACTTTCCCTTAGTGTTTGTGAAGACATATTTTTCTGAAGATAATTGAGACTTTCAAACAATTCATGGTCATATGTTAGGATCGGTGTCTTCGGCTTCTTGGACCTCTTCATTTTTATCTTCTAATTGCTTGTTCGAACAAGTGCCGGTGAGTCGATTGGCGGCACTCTCTGATTCTCCTCGGACTTCCTCTTCWGTCATACGATCAAATGTCATTACCATTTCGCAATGAGGGGTGAGAGGAAACATGTCAACTGGCTGGGCTCTCGTCGGTTTGAATGGCAGTCCTCGATATTTATTTGTCGCATGACCACAGAGTATAGCTGCATCGTTAACCAATGATCCAGTTGGATTACAGCTGACATAAACTAGCCGCTGAATTTCCTTTGTAGATCGAATAGCTTTGATCACGTTTGGATGAAGCCCATCTCGAGCGGGATCCACTACGGCAACAATCGAGCGCGGTGAATTTGCACCACCAATTGTACTGTTGGCACGTCGCAGTTCATCTCCCATCACAAGCTCGGCCCGCGAGGCAACAAAACGAGTCTTACCCTTACTTTTCTCATCTCCAAAACCATTTCGTATMGCATTTGCCAATGCATCGTCAATTGCRGGTTTTGAAATGTCTACTCCAACCACTCTACCAACTACTCCTTCGGTCAGACAGTGCAATCCAATCGTACCAGTGCCACAGCATACATCAAACATTARAGTTCCTAAAGGGTCGGAACTGACTTCTCTAATTCTATCAGCAACAACATCATACAAAATCTCTGCCCCAGCAGTTGTAACTTGGAAAAATGCTCCAGGGCTGATCTGGTATGTGTTCTTTCCAAGCTTTTCAGTGATGAATTTCGTCCCGTAGATGTGTTGAACAGGATGTGATACGGAAGGATTTGACAAACCATTGTATTCTTGAAAGAAAATAGACGTGACCGAAAAAACAGGAGTTTCTTCCTTCGCTACTTCATCCTCTCTCTCTACGGACTTTTCATTACCAGTTGTCACCTTCTCATCCTTCGCATTATCACTTTCTTTGATTATATCAACCATTGGTAGATCTCGTTTCGGAATTGACAATCTACTTTTGGTTAAAATTGCAACCAATCGATCTCTCTCTTTTTCAAACAAATCGCGCTTTTCCTTCCTGGATTTTTCACTGTCAGATTCTGGCTTTTCGTCTCCCGCTGCGCCCTCCGGTGACGCATGAACAACAATCAGCATTACCTCTCCAGTTCGTTCCGAGCTGCGAATCGTAASGGATCTCCATAGACCTCGATGGACGCCAGWTTCATACGGCGCAAATGGACTGCTCAATAGAAAGTCGTCAATCAGGTCAGATATTGCACAAACTTCATCGGGTATGTTCTGCAAGCAGTGAGGGCGGGCTACAGAATGGCGCCATCCATATGGGAGGAATCCAAGGGTAGGAATACGTGAAGAGATGCCGRTTTTTCCGGGTACCGATTCATCAGCGCTGTGTMTATTTTTTTCGTGGACTCTCTCTCTATCTTGGATTTCTTCTCCGTTTTTTTCTGACTGAGTTTCTTTGTCAACTGTGCCACTCTCACTTTCATCCGGACATCGGTAGCCAAATGTCAACTCACATTTGTTCCGGTATTTTGTTATGACTGGACTGTTCATCACATTTTCTACTTTAATACTAGGTGTCGCATTTATCCAAGCAAACTGTTTTGGTTTCTCTTTTTTGTTGGGATTGCGTCTCGCCTCTTTTTCGATCGTACGGAATCTTGCTTTCATCTCTTTCTCAATCTTCATCGCGCAGTTTCGAATCATGTCTTTCTTTTTGGTTTCCAATTGGATTTGGTATGGTTCTGCCCAGAGTGCAGTCAGCTTGCTCCGAATTTGTGATGGTGTAGGGCAAACRGGAACATCATGCCGAGCTCGCTTGCYATCGGTAGTAGAGTCGTTGCCGTCTCGGCTACGTTTCTTCCTATTGCCAGAATCTTCGCCCGCCCTTTTTGCCACCATGATCTGCCCTCGTTTGTTGACTCTCTTAGTTCCATTAATTAGTTTTATAAAAGGTTCAACCATGCAATCCTCTGCTACTGTAACAGTGACCCATCCGTTGCGAGGGGGTTTTCTATAACGATCGATTACAAGTCGAAATCCATCATTTTTTTTGGCATCGTCAAGCCACGATTGAACCATCGCATCAAGATCCTTCTTGTTTAAGAACTTCAAGACGTTATGAACAACTACCTTTCGAGGCGTTGTATCCAGAGAGCTGCGATAGGTGACGTTYGATGCGCCRGAAATTTCAGTATTCTCATTTACAGAAGAGGCCGACGGTGTGGCATCGCAATCTTTCTTCGTTTCAACAGAAGCGACTGTTTCTTTTGCTTTGGGCTCAGGTTGAATTTCCGTCATCTYCTTTCCTTGCTCTTGCATTTCTAGTCGTTTAYGCGTTAGTATAAAGGTATTGAACTAGGCAGTGAAGCCGGTGAGCACAGTTACAAGAATGAGCTCGAGGGACTTGAAGCGTTCATCCTTCAGCCAGATACTGTCRACAGAAATCCAAAATTCGAAGCTACCGYACCGTACGATRCAGAACAAAAAATACTGATGATCGGTTTTGATGCGTTCGTGGTGATGAATACTCGTGACCTATTCGAACATTCAGTCACATTCTATTTYCGAGAGACAAGAAAAATCAAAATTCATTTGAATCCGAGAACCACTGCCTGATGATGAATAYAGTAGGTCTTTTTGTTTTGCGGTGAGCTGCAAGAGAAAGTCGAAACATTTTCAGCAACTTATCAAATGCCACCAAACTGCCACCACACCAGCCTTCTAATCTTGCTAGATAGTACCACCAAACTTTGACCTGTTATTCTAGTTCAGTCATTACCTTCGAGTAGTTTAAATGAATTTTTGATCTGTTAGTTTTCCAAATTCAAATCCTGTAAAGTACTTCTACTACGTACTGTGATTATATCATGTGATGCGGTACGTCTGCCCTTAAGGCGACACGCGATAAGCCATCAAATAGCTTGCTCCAATTACTTTAGCAGTTTAGTCCGTTCATTTTGCATCAKACTGATATTGCCAACGTCTTCAGTTTTTTGGGGTGGCGAATCATCCTCAAAATTTCCATTTGTCCGGGGAAAAGCGCGTTCTTCAACCTTTGTGAAATYGTTCCCGAAGTCTCCATAGTCCGAGACGAAGCGTTCATCTTCTGACATCTCGCGTTCCTTAGCACGACGATCAAGTATAGATCGAGAATCTAGATCCAGTTGTTTTGGCACCTTGCTACTTCTGTTCCATTCGTCTTTTTTCTCGTCTAACTTGATGGTTTCATTGGSAACACTATTTATCCACGTGGAGGTGTTGATCGAAACTGGTTTTTCAGAACCCATTTGGGGTACGAAAATTTGCTGACTCTTGTCTTCGTCTTTCCTTTTTGCATCAAGCGACCTTTTCAATTTCAATTCATCATCATCTTTCTCCCCATCCCCGCTTTGAGAACCTCGCAACCACTGCTCCAAGCTAGCATTGCTAACGGTATTGACTGAACTAATGATACTATTACCTCGTTGCAATGGTAGAGCTGATATTAGCTGGGGACGTTCTGATGTAGTGAAAAATTTTCTCGCCGAAGCGCTTCCTGTTTCATCTTTGGAAGGAACACTTGCTATAGTATCATCACTAATTGTTGATCGCGTGCTAGAAAGTTGGTCTCCCTGGTACAGCAAGGTCCCCGAAAGATCCGACAAGGGTGTCAGTGAAGGGTTATGGCGATTGGTTCTGTAGATTTGATCTCCATTTTCTCCGAACGGGTGCTTTCCGTTGTTAATTAGACCTTGTTCTTCATCCGCAAATCGTACTTTCGAATCAGCTCGTATCCTATTTGCATTTGCCGTATTGACGAATCTATGGTCTATCGTTGAGGTTTTCACTGACTCTGATGTCCCACTAAGGTGATCGTAAAGGTCTTCTTCGAACAGAAAACGATCTATTGATTTTTGTTTGGTTCGATATTGTCGAATAATGCTGATATTGTTTTTGATGTTGCACTTGGCCTTCGAGAGTAAGTTAGAATGAAGACTGTGTGGCACGAGGGATTCCTCGTATTCGCTCGAAAATATTCGCTCTTTGCTCATTGCACCTGTGTGCATWATGATACGCCCGAAGGAGCTGAAAACGCTGACAACATGGACRAATAGAGCTACCGTCCCCACCAAGAGACAAATCGAAAAATATCCCACTGGTAGCAACATGAAAAAGAAAGCCATGAATGATATCAAAAATGTATAGATACTGCCAACAATAAATCTCCCGGGGAGTTCTGTGGCGTATTGCCCAATCGACGATCGCAAAATGCAATGAGCATTGGCCTCATTAATGGCACTGATCATCGCAGTGAAAGAGAAAGTGCTGATGAGACTGAGTATGGTGAAGAGTGCCGAAATGATGATGAACAATCCTGCCCAGAAACCAACAGTGTTCCAATGGGCATTTACAAGATTGTCTCGGACCTGTGAAGCAACGGTGGAGGAGTTGAAAAGTACACCAAATTCCGTGGAAAGCAACAATGACATGAAGACCATAGCGCTTGAATATCGTTGTGTTATATAGGCACGTAGATCCTTCCCGTTCTCCATTGACCATGCATTGTGTCTTCGCCAAATCGAAAAATGATTGACAGTAACAAGGTACTCCCTGAACTTGATTAGCTGTAAGAGAGAAATCCAGGTATTCGGTGTAAAGTCGCGACGATCGGTACAAGACGACGTGCGTTGCTTCAACGGCAATGGTTTTTGATTGTTCTCAAGCTCYGAACCCGACCATTCTTCTCGTTCTGGACAGAACATTTTCTCGCTGCTTCCATTACTCTGGGTTTCTTTGTCTTCCTCTTTTTGGTGCCACGATGGAATCAGCCTTTTTTATTTCTTTTATCCCAGTATTCGAGACAGTAAATGATGAAGCTTAACAAGCACCTACGATTCCTCCAGAAAATTGTTCGGCGAACGATTCCAACATGAAACCGTTTTCAAACGACACCACAACACACACACCAATTTTTTTCATGAGACTTCCGACTTTTTCACGATGGCTCTTATTCTGCACGATAGACTCATTCCCGCAAGCTCAGAATTCTACGTAGGACCTGGCAAGAAGTATTTTTTAGACTCCGATTCCTACCGCCCCGCAGTGCTTTTCCCACCGAAGTACGCCATTAGTGCGAAGTACGATTTTCGACGGTACCTCAGAATGGAACTAAGCACATGCGAGGACGATCACTTAGATACCGTAATGTACTACTTGTACCCTACCGTACATAAACTACGGGATGGCTCATATTATTTTACACCTGGGAGGTAACATACTCATAGATATGTATAGTATCTATTATAGTTAAGAGTTGAGAACACTACCGTCGACATACGGTAACATCAAACATCATCGATCAAAAACCAAAAAACGGTACGAAAAAATACGTCTCCTCGATCTCACACCATGAAGGCATTTTCGTACCATCTCAATTTAACAGTACGTACCGTCACCGTTTCACCCACATACGTAGTTATCCTTTCGATCAATTGTCAACRCGACGGAAACGAATCGATCATGTCGTCTTCGGTCGATGACAATGCCACTAATACCTCCAAGGGTGACGGAAATCCTGGCGTAGAAAAATACAGCGATGAAGCGGTTGTCCAATCTTTTGTGGACGCCATTCCACACGAAGATCGTAGGTCGCTGGATCTCGAACTCGACTCCTTTGTTGTCCGCCATGCATCACATCACCGCCCCATCGCACTGGTCTCATCGGGTGGAACCGCGGCTGATCTAGAAATCAACAGCGTCCGTTGTCTGGACAATTTCTCAACTGGAAAGCGGGGCGCAATTTCSGTGGAAGGTGAGAGTTGTATTAAAACTTTAAGAGATGCGGGTACCGCTGTTGTGCCTTAAGGTGTAGCGCCATACATCTCTAAYTTTTTTCGTTTCCAAAGAATTTCTGAAACGCGGCTATGCAGTCATTCACCTCTGGAGGAAGGGTAGTGCCTCACCGTACGGGCGAGTGCTGAGCCAATTGATAATGGGGAARAAATCAATGCCTAATGAAGGAATTTCGATGGCAAGTCTGGGAAAATTGTTTGCAACGGGTGATCTAGATGAAGACCAAGAAGATCAGTTGGTCCAAGCAGTATTAGATGCAGAACAGAACGGCGATCCGTGGTTGTCCGATCCTTCCTCGGTTGACACAGGGAACAATGCAGATGGTGCGAACAGAATGCTCAGGCGTTCAAACAATAGCAGCGGTACAAACAAAAGATCGTCATATAGAGGTGGCGTTCAATTGCATCGACGAATCTTAAATTCAACTCCACTTCTCACAGCTCTTAACGAGCGAAAATCTGCTTTGGAGGAGGGAAGAATCTTAACGATACCATTTCGATCCGTAGAAGACTACCTCGCGAAACTTCAGTTRTCTTCCGAATCCTTGCGAAACAGCCAAGCTCTCGCTATTTTCTATTTGGCAGCCGCGGTGTCCGACTTTTACGTGCCTCTCGCGGAACGTTCACAGCATAAAATTCAGAGCCGCTCAATTCCAGACAAGAATTCTGGTAGCGCGCTCAGCAAGGAAAAAGGTAACGAGTGCTTAAATCTAAAATTATGGCCCGTTCCCAAGGTGATGGGTTTGTTACGATCCAAATGGGCGCCGGATGCATTYATCTGCAGCTTCAAACTGGAAACCGATAAAGCCATCCTACGTCAGAAGGCAGAAGGAGCGATTGACAAGTATGGTTGTCATGTGGTGATTGGAAACCTACTGGCGACTCGCCACGATCAAGTTTGGATTTTGGCTCCGGCGGACATGGAAAGATTTGTGTTGGAGAATAGCCAGAAGAGTGCTGATTCGATAGCAAAAGACTGGCCCATGCACGAAATCTCACGGCCCAAGTCGTCTGAGACAGAGGTGCTTGAGGGCATGATTATAGAAAATGTTGTGCAAACTCACTTCGAATATATCTCCACCAGCTTGAGCGGTAGCTTCGACAAATCTGGAACGGCATCTGTCATGCAGGCTCACTACGAACTCCAGCGAAAGAAAAAAGAAATCGAAAATGAATTGTTCTGGAAYCAAGTGCAAAAGGTTGCACTGGATTGGGCTGGAGTTTTCGCTGGCGCTGCATTATCGTATGTAATCTCGGCGGCATTGAGACGGAGAATTGATGCGTAGAGTTTTTTTAAATTGCAAGGGAAAGCCAAGCATATCATAAATCTTTTCTTGATAGAATATCTTACGGACGACTTTGTCTCTTCTTGTATAAGTCAACAAAAAGATAATCTGGTAAGGGWTGAGGATTGTCGTCATATTTCAGTTTCTAATTTTGTCAGATGGTTTCGAAAAGAAGGGCATATTGCTTTCAGCTGAAATGTRAAGAACATCATCATCATCATTATCTGTATGTTGGCTGCTCGCAGTGGACATTTTGCGTTATAACCGCGATCTGCTTGCTGACGATAACGTCTTCGATGCAATCTCGATTTCCGCATATCCATTATCTACCAACTTTSTACCTGAATCATTGTTTATAATCACGAAGAGGAACCTCTTGAAAGTTTTGTTCGTCTTCACCCCCTCTGGTGTGCTGGAAAGATCCCATATCTTGATGCTTAGACAATCTCCTACAAAACCCGGTGCCTTGAATGCCCCCTCTAGTTTTCGAAAGAAAAACTCACAGTCTTCTACACCACCAAACTCMTGCCGCAAAGAGCTCCGATAAGGATCGGYATCGAAAAGTTTTAAAATGGCACGAAACGCTAGCGCCAGTGTAAACAAACCGTGCAAAAGTGGGGCCTTCTTGTTGGYTCCAAGCATCTCCGATGCGGATGTATCTACGTGTATGTTATTTGAGTCGCCGGAAGCCATTCGGTATAGCAGTGCTTGGGACTGGGTCGTTTGGTACGTCCATTCGAATAYAGGTGTCTTTTTGCCTTCTGTTTGCTCACTTTTGGACGGAATTTTTGGGTTAGACGTAAGACGCTTTATCCCCGCGTTAAAACTGATGACGTTCTTKGGATCCATACCCAGCACCAAGGCAGTGGATTGCATGGTGCACAATGGTTGGCGGTTGTTGTTGGGTCTTGTTACGTTCGATTGAGACGTTACAAACGTTCCTATTGTTTTTGGTTGTGTCGCTATCGTTTCTGAATTGATGTGGACGGTTACCGCCAGATTCGACGTCGGCACYTCTATTGGCCGATGCCACACAATCGATTGCCACGTGTGAATGACGGGCATGTTGGAAATATCCGTGTTATTGCGGCGGAACCGACGGGGAATAACTTCTTCGTCGGACATGACTGGTGGCGGAAACGGAGGTATTCTCTGAGTAGTGGATATACCGATTCTATTCTCCTTTCTGTTTCTCATTGCCCAAAATGTAAAGGCAAAGCAAAATGTTGGAACTCCCACRAACTTGTCGTCACGCTCATACAGAAACTTCAATTCGCTGGCGTCGTCTACCTGGGATCCCATCCCGAGAGACAACGCATACAGAATGAGATCCTTGGCGGTATACGCAGCCTCGTACTCTGTCATATTTGATTCGATAGCCGTSCAGCTGCACCTTTGCCGTGCTTACGCCTTGATTGGGTTTTTCTTTCAATTTCCACGGATCTAACTCTCACGGTCAGCTCTATCGAGTTTCTGATGTTGAGTTGGACTTGCGTACAATAAATATGACTAGGTGGTGAAACTTTTCAATTTCAAATCRTTGAACCTGTAAAAACATACKCTAGCTGTACGTTCGTACGGTACGATAGTGATTGTGGTACTAGTACTGTAAAGAATGAAAAAACACAGTTCTGTAGTGTTRAAGTCGTACGAACGTCTACGTTCTCGCACGTAACCTAAAACTCCGGCTGGTCCCGACACTRAGCGCGCCATAATTTTCGGCTTCGATATTCGATATCTTCGCGTCCGCTCTGATCGTGATCTCGTCGACGCATTGGAATCTCAACAATCATTTCCTTCCCGGAACTTACCGGCGGCGACCATACCCTGCGATTACGCAAAACAAATCTTTTTCTAGACAACCTATATAGTCACCACYTATACTCTCGATTTCTTCCAGACCACGATAACTGTTYATAATGTCGAAACCAAGACCAGGTGTTGCGGCGGCGAAACGGCTTTCTAAGTGCACCGATCCAAAAATATGGGAGTTGGTAGAATCGCAATATYCGGATATCGTTTCTCACGTCAAGGGTTTGAAAGATACCGAGGTAGAATACGACAAGCTTGGACTTCTTCTTTCGAACGATGTGTCTAAAAGATTCATTACCAAAGACGAGCTCATGACTGCCGTGAGCTGGAAGTTTTCCGTGGGGAAACCCCGGCACGCCCTGAAGAAACACCTGGCATCGAATTCGGAGGCTTCGGTCCGAGAGCATTCGTCCGCGGGGATTGCAAAAGCCAGAGGTGCGACCGAAAGCGACACCGAGGCAAGGAAGAAAGCCTTGCAGGACGTTTCTAGCCTGAAAGGAGTTGGTCCCGCTACGGCGAGCGCTGTTTTGGCCCTTGCACGGCCGGATGTATTTGCCTACATGTACGACGAAGTGATCGACTGCTTTTTGCCGAAACGAACGTATACGCTACCGACCTACATGGCAGTGAACGAACATTGTATCACAATTGCGAAGACGCTGCGAGGCAAATGGACCACAGCTCGTGTTGCAACCACATTATGGACAGCAGCCAGAGTCAATGCATACGACCTGCACGACCATACACTATCAAAGCGACCTATGGCCGACGGTACCAACGACACAAATAGCGAGATGCGAAGGACGTCCAAACGACGAAAACGTTGATTAAATATCTAGCAGTGCAGTACCCTCTACAGAAAGAACATCCCGCAGACGATTGCGATTGCAGCACCGATAAGTGTGTTGATAAAGTTGACAACTTCATTCGTCATCCACTCCAGACTTTTCTTTCCTTGCAATGTGGCTCCGAGAACGCTCTCGATATTCGTGGCAACAAATGCGGCAAAGATCGAAATTGGAACCGCTTTCGGGGTGAGAAATCCCATGTATAAACCGTACAAGGAAATCAGAGCACCTCCAACGACCGATGCCGCCGTACCCTCTAAACTGACCGCTCCCTCCGTTCCGGGTTCCGATCGTTCCAGTGTTGTTATTAAAAATGTAGTTTTTCCGTAGGCTTTGCCGATTTCTGACGCAAATGTGTCGGATAGTTTGGTTGCCAAAGAAGCAACGTACCCAACAATGTAGAGATCCGAACGAATCCCGAGAAATTYTGGGCCCTGTACGGAACAGATGGCACATGCCAGTCCAGTCGCGGCCGAACCCCAAACATTTTCTGGTCCTCTTCTTCCTCCTCGGCCTTCGGCAATACCTAGTTTCTCCTTCTCTTGGAATTTCACTTTTGTTACAGCCGATCCAAGGAACAAATAAAGGACGCAAGTCGTCCACCCTCGCCATCCSAGAGTAGCCCAGAGGCCGGTACCCAGAGCCAATGCGTGAAAGTATCCCTCATTGGTCAGCATCTTCAGTAATTTCGTTCGCAACACTCCGAAAAGAAATGCGTTTAATCCAAAGGCTTGCAAGAGCGGTACTCGACCTCCGTAACGGAAGAGGGATTTTGTCAAGGCCGGAACACCATCCCGAACACACGAAGGAATTGCCTCCAGTCTCGTCGGCCGACATGGGATGTTTTCATTGCACTCAACCGTCACAAACGGTGGCACTTCATGATTCCCTTGATGCGGGATAGTGAACGGAGGGAAGGTCAAATGTTTCCGAAATGTTGCTCTGCCGGTGCCGCCAAGAAATGCATTCGACGTATCCATACTCGCGAGGAGGACCAGAAGTACTACGGCAATGGAATTGCATGTACGGCTCATCTTTGTTTTCGTCATTSTGTGTTCTCTTTTCACTTTTAATATGACATCGTTTTGTACCGGAAGGTATAGCACGGTATGTGTTTCATCTTGAACATTCCATGCCTACCTGTACGGCACATTTTTACGGTTCCTTGTACCGTGCACTCTGAGCGTTACGTGACATTTGTCAGGGTTACTGGTGTCAGATCGTAGTAAAGGATTTTTTTTCGTTGATAATACGTACAGTAGTACAGTACAGTAGATACAGTAGATTTTTGTGCCAAAAAAGATTTTCAAGTTAGTCAGGTTAGGAGTTACACCGCACTGCTGTATTTTCATTATTTTTTTTCAAGACAACAAAACAACCTTCTCAGTCTCGATACAAACAGATCAGYTTTCACTATTTCTACAAGTTATTACTGCCTGAACTATTGTAATATGTGTTTCCTTCATTTTTGCTTGTTGAACGGAAGGTATTCAACATATCTAGTAGGGAATAAGTCCAGCATAGTACAAAAAATGTCTCAGCACCGTTATTGTCAAAGTTCAACTTTAGTGGCATCATCATCATCATCATCAACACTAGTATGGCACAGCACAGGAAAGAAAGGGTGTGATCACTACTAGATCCTATCTTTGCATAAATCTACTATATTGATTCATGCTGTGAGAGCCTGCGATTGTTGTCACCGCGATATTGCCTTCGACATTGATTGCTTGGTTTCTTCGTAAGTGGCGAATTGGATTGCGCCACTGAGAATCGCTTTTCCCATTTTCGGCGTTGCTCCGGCAAACAATCCACTCAAGCCTTCTTGTCGCCCTAGATCAAATAAACTCTCCAGGTATCCCTTAGTCTTAACTTCATCCGACAGAGGCGAACCACTTCTATCCTTACCTGTCATCAGTCTATTTCGAACGACATCCAGGGGTGTGGTTATGAGTTGCGACATGGCAGTTGCCAGGGCACCGGCTCTCGCACCTTCCAGAGGCGAAAGATTCTTGCGACCATCAGTTATAGATTCATACGCAATAAACTTGATAATATCTGCCGGTAAGGAATAAAAAATATTCTCCCAATATCCTGTATAAAGGTCAGATGTGTTCTCATCGTCATCGTCATCGGTATCACCTTCACTTCGTACAGTTTTTTGCAGTGCTGTAATAATAGAAACTCCTTCTCCATATCCCTCAATGTTTGTTTGCTGCCTTACTTTGATTACTTCAGATGGATTTCGGATAATCCAGTATGGGATCATAGCAGCTGAAACTGCCAAAGAAGTAGTCAACCACCTTGGTTGTGTGCTGTAACCATCGGAATTTTTCAGAGCGACCTTGGCGGCATCTTTAACTCCAAAAAACACTGCTCCAGCTGGAATATTGGACAGCAAGGTGAGGGAAATGCCATTGAAACAACCATTGAACAAGGTCAATGGGTCACGAATCGAGTATACCGAATTTGGCATTTGTAATCGTACGGTCGCCGTGTCCAAAGGAAACTTTACGAGAGTCTTCACTGTGGCAAGTGCCGCTCCAGAAATGGAACCAGAGATGCTTTCTTGAAGCGAGTTTGGTTCCGAAGYGCGTAATATACTGCTAGAGCTGGTGCCAAAGGATCGAATTTCATCCTTTGAAATAGTATGGGCAGTTTCTGTTGCTCCAGAATCAGTACTCGCGTAATCTTTTTCTTCCACAGACGCTGCAACCAACGGTGCAGAAATTAACATGGCGGACGAAAGAAATAGAGCTGACATTGTCTGCCTCCGATTCAAAAATTTGTTGGGTTGCATTGTTGTCAGATCGTTGTCGTGCTCGTCGTCCTTGTAATTTTCAAAGACCACAGCTTGTAGCTGAATCAACCGCATTCGATCGAAGGGAGGAGAATCATTTATTGCATTTGTCTCTAAGTCTGTTTTATGGTTGTCATCGTTACGATGTCGCGATATCGAAGACAACGAAGAATGGGGCGAGAATGTAGAAACTGTTGTTGCTGCGGACACGAAATAAATTGCTCCAGCGATGATACCAACTTTTATTGTGTAGCGAATCCGACAGGACCACCAACGRCAAGACTGCCGAGAACGAACATGTTTTGAAGCCGAACCAGTAGGAGGTYTTATCATAACTTGGATGCTACCGATTCTACTGTTGTCGGAACTGAACCTTGTTGAAAGAATGAAGTGCTGTTGCACTGGCATCCCAATTGCCTCTCCTAGCGATACGTACTACTGTAGTTCCCTATTGCCGAGGTTCCATCGTGTCGAGTTTTTTGTCGCAGATAGTACYACTGTAATTCACTACCGTACCCCTTCCAACCAACCGTGTACGAGTACCGTACGTACCTAAATCAATACAGTACTCTTGCTGTATTGACTACGTAAGCATACGTACTCTCAGTACTATCTCTCGTACGATTCGTACGGCTTTCATTTCACTGTTGTGAATAAATGGCCTCACAATAAAGAATGAAGACGCTTTCTCATTGATTCACGACCAATCGTGGACACGGGTCAGAAGCGTGTTTTTCGAAAATACGTTACGAGTTTACTTACTTAATACAAATGATGATGAAAAAATGTCGTCATTCCTGACCCAAAAAAAAAAAAAACGTCATGTCAGAATGCTTTCCTACTTTCTCACTCATCCAGTTTTCGAAGAACCAGTCCCAAACCAAGTAAAATACTACTAAGATTATTTTGTCTAACGATTGTTTGCCGCAATTTCGGCTGTCTTCACATCTCGATTACACACACCGATATACAGTAATCAAATAAGACTTCGTATCAATCTTATCGATTCACCATCGCCCCAAGGACGTCTATTCGCAAATTAAGTTATTCAACTACGATGAAATCAGCTGCCGCGGCGATTGCAACTCTTTTTCTCGCTCCCTCAGTAACGACTGGCTTCGTAAGCCATGCTCCTACTGGTCATGGGCGATCGGCAACAGTTGTGACGAAGTCGTCCACTGCGTCGGACCCCGAATCAAGATTCATTGACGGCGTTGGTATCCCTCCACAAGAATCGCTTCAGGCAAAGCTAGAGGAGGTAGAAGATTGTGCACTTCCAACACAAAAGGGCAAGACCATGTCTGAATCCATTCCCTTCCTCAAATGCCCAGCGGTGCTTCTCGAGTCCGACTTGGCGGGAAATGTTGGCTTTGACCCACTCGGATTGGCTACTAGCGATGAATTGTTATTAGACTACAGAGAGGCAGAAGTAAAGCACGCGAGACTCGCAATGCTTGCAGCCGTTGGCTGGCCTATCTCGGAACTCGAGGATAGAAACATTGCCGAATTTTTCAACGCCCCATCCGTCCTTGACGATGGCGACCGTGTGCCCTCAGTATTGAATGGAGGATTGGACCGAATTGATCCTCGGTTCTGGGGTTTCTGTTTGGGRATGTCGGCTGCCATTGATATGTATGGAGTTTCGAAATCTCGTCGGGGTTCTGCAGATTATTTTCCAGGAAACATCGGATTCGATCCTTTGAATTTGTTTCCCCCGGATAGGGAAGGGAGAGAGAAAATGAAATTGGCAGAAATCAAGCATGGTCGAATAGCAATGCTTGGAGTTGTTGGCTACGTTTCCGAAGAGTATGTGACAAAAATGGCTGTGGTTGACGATACTCCGGTCTTGTTTCAACCCATTACTGAAACAATTGAGGAAGTCATTTCGTCGTCGTTCCTACTTTAACTCAAGCTTTAGTTGTATTCATTACAGATTTCGACATCGTTTCCAGTTTAACTTMAGCTTCAGTTGCATTTATTAGAGACAACTGTTAACATCAAGAAAAATGAAACAAATTGATATAATTGTTTATTGTGTAAATTTATTGTTTTCTTTAGTAACCACAAACATCAATTAACAATTGTTGTACTAGCACATCTGCCTATCACCTCATAAGATTTTGTGGTAGCTGTGAATCAAATGGATTTATTTTGGTAGTCCAAAGTGGTAAAACAAATCTCCTTCATTTTTAACATGAAATTCAATTAGTTTGTTGAACAGAGTCCTGATTGCGTTTACAGCACCCCAATTTGTATCACCCCTGGAAAGACAACAACAACAGCAGCAGCAGGGGGGAAAGACTTCTTCTTGCTGTTGATCAGGAGGCTACTACTAGTATCATTGGTGGTAGTGAATTTTCCAGTAATTGCTTGCTTGAGAAAAGGCTCACTGACATCCATACCAAAAAAACTCACGGAAAAAATTATGGAAGTCGAAACATTAAAAAAGACTAAAGCAGTTTTGACTGTAAATGGTTTGCTCAGCGGAAGGGGGGTCTGGGGGGTGGATTTTTAAGAGACATGGTATACTCATCTTTTTAGTCATAGAGCCGGTAGGGTTTTGAACTATAAGAAACATCGTAAAACAATAAAGTTACGGGAATGAAATACCAACTTATATAACTGATTGCTGGTGGTGGCATGCAATGTAACAAATGAAGCACACACCTTCGACTTCCACTGCCACCGAAGCAGACCAATTGACCCAATTGTTGGGATGATGAGATTGCTTTTTTGTCCTCTTCTTTCCTGAAAATGATTGTGCAGTCTGGCCGTCACACCATACATGAATCAAGGAAAATCGAAATCGCGAGGAAAATCATCGAAAAAACGATTGATTTTTGATCCATCATCGTCCATCAAAAAATCACTTCTCTATCATCAAACCTGTACCGGTAGGTCAGAACAAAAACAAAACGGCAACAAAAACAATTCGTTCCGTCGAACTTCGGTTGCTTCTATTTTTTCCCTGATCTGCATGGAAGATTCACTTGTTGCAGATCCTACAAAGTTTTTTTAAAAAAGCAAATCTCACCAGTGATAAATTGTACCTGACAATGATTTGTCACACTGTATTAGAAGGTTCCGAAAACATTTCCAGCAAAGAAAAATTGAAGTGCAGGATCTCGGGATACATCGCGCTCGTCACATCGACTCTGCTGATGCTGATTCATATTCCATTAGCATYATCATTGTCGCAATTTTCGACTCTTCGAAGAAGGTGTTGGTACTCGTCAACTACGTTCAGAGGCACGGCGACGTGCTCTGCTATTTTCGCACAGAGCAATGAAAAYGATGAGATTCCCTCGATGGATTGGTTAACCGACACTTTGAGCACTCCACCAGAAAAGGGCACAGGCGCCACAGGAGGTAACATGTATAGCGACGAAAACATGGCCGACGCTTCGCCGTACCTGGAAGAGCACAGTGTCGAAGGAGACTTGGGGGATGTCCCTATTCCAACAACTGGATTGTCGGTCTCTGACGAGATGGGAAAGACCCAAAAAGATCGTTTCTACAGCCAACTTGTCCCAATAACTGGGCTGGGGAAAGGTGTCAAAGCGCTTCGGATCCTATCATCAACTTCTGTAGGTGCATACGAGGCTGTTCGGTATCTGATTCGTCTGAATCGAAAAGAGGACGAAGAGGAAGAAGATGTTGATTTGGGTCTGGACTTTGACGAAATCGACCTTGAAATGTACCTTGACGACGACGATGAGGTATCAACGTCCGATTCTCAAGAAACATCTTCTTCGCTATCTTCTGGAGAGAGAGATGATTTTGTCATGGTGGACATCCCACCATTTTCTGAGAAGCTACTGAAGGAAATGAAATCTGTCATGGGACCAAATGGTCGCCTGTCTGCTATTCTAGTTACAAGCCAGGAATGTATTCATTATGACGAAGCTCCCGGAGTTTATTCTGTTCGCAAAGCGGATCTGACAAAGTGGAAACGCGAATTCCCCGAAACAGCAACCGTTGCATATAGAATGGATATACCAAGAGATTGTCGTGACTCAATCACTCAGCGTCTGGACGGCTATGGGCCATGGGCCATGGTCGAAGAACCAAATGAAACTGGGAAAATTGACACCGGGTCAATATTCAAAGAATCAGGTCTACCATTCACCGTGAACGAATGGGATCCTGAGATGGCAGAAGATATTATGACCGGGAAACGAAAGCCACCAGGAGAAGAGGAAGACGACGATTCAGTGATTGAATTGGATGCAAATGGTGGATTTACACCTGACACAATCCGCGCCAACGAAGAGGGCAAACAGGTTCTTGCTGTATATACGCCTGGCCGCACCTTTGGAAGCACGACATATGTATTTCCAGAACTCAAGCTTTGTGCGTCGGGATATTCTTTGCCGTTGGAAGATTCAAGAGAGGAAGAAAATCCCGGAATGGATTCTCCTGGTCCTGCTCTCGACCACAGGGGCTATATCACAACCAACAAAGCAGGAGTATCTCGCCAAGTTGAGTCTGCCAGGGAACTCGTAGAGAATTACCATGATCGATTTGAAATTTTGCTGACTGCGCGCGGAGATCCCTTCTATTTCGAAGGGGATGCACGAGACCGCCGGGAAACTTTGATGGAGATCATTGGTCAGTACGAGAAGCTGGGAAATATCTATGAGCAATTGGGAATTACGGGCAACTAACTGGGTTTAAGGTAACTCAACGGCTGATGCTCCGTTGCAAAGAGTACGGCGACAATAAGATATGGTCTTCGAGATTTTCTATTTAATACTATCAAAACCGAAGCGCTCCTCTATATATTGCTACAAGTTTGCCCAAACACCTAGTAGGGACCATAAGGTTTCTATGAATACTTTTGTTTAGATTTTYAACAAGAAAAAGTTGTATCAAACCTATTTTTTCCCTCTCCCAACCAATCCCAATACTTTTTGCACTACTTTCGATTTGATTGTATCAATCTGGAGCTTAATCATCATACGGAGGCTACGAGGGACCAGAGCATTGTAAAGCTGAGAAGCTGGATTTCGCCATGGGAAACCAATACCAGCTCTATCGGCGGGGATTTTGTTTCTCGCTTCTGTGGTGATAGTCTGGCCCAAATCGTCGACAAGAACAACCGTCGGAATGCCTTTGACTCCATATTTGTCACTCAGTCGCTGGCCTCGTTCTCCCGCAGCTTCCTCTAGAGGTAGTGCTAACCATGGCATTTTTGCAAAGTATTGATAGTGCGAGTTTTGATCTCGGCAACGAGAAATCAAAACAATCTCAAAATTGTCCTTTTGCCCACGTCTTTTGTTCATCTTGTCATAAAATGATGCTAGTTCAGGAGTGAATTGCCGGCAGGGCCCACACCTTAAAGCAACAATACGGAATGCAACGCAATTCGTGTGAGGAAAGGGAGTCCGGTGAATTATCCCACTTCAGAACAACCAACTGGCATAGAAATAGACATTAGTACGTACCAATCTGCACTGAAATAGAGACCAATAACTTTTTTGCCTGCCAGTGCTTCGTTGGTGTAATGCTCAACTACCGAGGCGGACTGTTCGTCGACCATTTTCAAAGATTGCAATTTCGTTCCCAGCAGATCAATCAATGGGCCCGATTGAACAGGTTCTGCTGCTTCCGTTTCTTCAGCCGCATCATCGACGGCTTCGGTAGTTTGGCCAACAACCGTGCTCATTCCGACAAKGAACACCAATCCAAGGAATATTTTGAGGAGGGAGATCGAAATTTTCATTTTGTTTTCTTTATGACGTTAGGAAATAACTTTTTTCTAATAACTTTTGCAGATTTACGATGCTCTCGAGTAAGATGTCATTCGATTTCATTCGTTATGAAAGATGCGGAGTACATGCCAATATGATGGACGATATCGAATCAATTACATCTATCAAGCTCACGCGATGTGACATGCGTTTCCAATTCAACACGCACAGAGTATCGTGTTCCAAGTATGGCACTGGCATCGCTCTCGTACCGTACCGTAAACAGGATAAAAATACAGTAATTGATAATTGATACCATTGGCTACTGATTGATTCTCTTTCTCCATCTGAATCATGCATCGTGAAGGGATCACCACGTGGAACCTGTCACACTTGTCGTCTGGCCTAAGTCCCGTGACAAAATTCTGCATCCGAAGATCCACTTTGTTATGATTTTGATTGATCATGATGTTGACAGCTTTGACATCATGAAGACTCCAATGCGCAGAGCATGATAGAATACCTGTATCTAACCGAGGAACAGAAAAGATAGTGGTTGCATTCTTTTTTCCTATTCTGAGTTTCAACCGAGCGAAGCTATTTTTTCTGATGAATGGAAGAGAACAATCGTTCGCGGTAACAGCGATCCTTGTCGTCGGCTTGGTGCTCAACATGATAGGGGACAGGACCACTGCTTTTCAGTCCATAGTTCTCGTATCGAGACCGGGACGACGTAATCGTGGCAAATTTCGAACGAATCAATGTCATAACCACAACTTTATTCACAATTGTCGTGATGCCAGTCTTTTTGCATCACCTTCAGGAAAAGAGGACATTGATTTCAATGACGAACTCGACGATGAGAAGTTTAATGAAGTCGTATCGGAGCAACCTATCGAATTTGAGTGGAGGGTTTTACAGCAAGTGAGTTCTAAAAGATATTGAGCTCATTGAACTGGTGAAAATCACTTCTCAATAATGGCGATATGAATTTCGTTTTTTAATTGAGCGTAAACTACTGTTGCTGCTACTTAAAAAGATGCTATCAGGCCAATATGATTCAGTAAATGAAGTTTGTCGCAGTCAGAAGCTCTTCAAGCATTAAAACAGTGTAAACCATATTCTCATTCATCGTTTGTCTATCACATTCTATTCCGTGCCGTGGACAGATGCTTGGTATCAATATTTTCACCGTCATATTGGCGGCACTGATAGTCTTTTTCCTGAGCATGAACATCATCCTCGGCCCAGGTTGGCTTGGTTCAACCATTGGTATTCCAGGAACCGGCAATATTCAAGAAGTATCTCCAACGCTTCCAGGATCATTAGACTTGAACCGACCCGAATATCGTTTATGAGAAACGAACGATCGAAAAAGGTACAACCGCAATTCGAGTTTTCAGCGAGATCCAATCAGTCTTTCATGAAAAGGTTCCTTTGTTACGATACAGGAATGGAGAACCAAAGAGCAAATATCCAAACTAGATTCTACTAGGATTTCAAAGCGAAATCTGCATTTGTATGTGTGGGCAGACACTTAGATTTACGATTGTAGCGTCTCCCTCAGCAATTTAAAGAGCTGGGCTAAGTGGAAGCGAAGAAATTTCATTTCTGTGCCAAAGTGTATCGAAAGAACGCCACTAGAATATTCCACGAAATTTCAACTTCTCTGTTTTCCAACTGCAAACTCCTAAGAAAAGAAACCATGCTTGTGAGTTAAATTTTGAATTTAGAGAACTAATTACGGGTTACACAAAAACCTTTTAGCAACGATTTCCTTCTTATTGCTTCACTTTTCCATTCGTTGCAAATTGATTCAGCCAAAAATACGTTTTTTTTTCGTACATATTGAGAGCGGGTTTGGCGTTTACAAAACATCGCTGTTTTGACTCATCTAGATCTTACGGAGGAGTCATCATCGACAGAATATATAAATTGAAAGGCGATCATCATGTTTCGTTACTGCATATTCATTATTTGTGCATCGCATGTCCTCTATACGCTTTGGTCGTGCGATTGTCATCTCTGACGACCTATTCCAATCCGTTGAGCTGCGGATGATTTCTTAGCTCCAGGAGTCATGTTCGATCGCTTCATGCGCCCACCATCTGCACCACTGCTTCTACCAGCTTCACCGTGTTGCATTGCCATAGGATCCTCCATGCTCATTTCTTTTTCTCTTATTATCTTTGAATATCGGAAACACGTTCAAATGCAAGGCAAACGTTGCGAGTTAGCGAGCTGGTTCTCCACGTTACTCATTACAGAACTCCTCTCACCAATGCATCGCTTGACACCAAAGGATGTTGGGTTGTTTTTAATGGAAAGCCAAAAGTGGATTAAATTGAAATCAATGGCTGGCGCGAAGAAACCAAAGAATGATTCTGTACCCAACCGAATAGTCGTCACTAACCTTCGTGTACTCGTCTATGTCGTCAGCTTTCAATTCTACGCGAGTGGGAGGTCGTCGAAGAGCCATTTCTATATTGTTTGCGCTTGAGGTTCGTCTTGGAATTGCTTCTTACGCATCTAGAGAGTTACAGTACCGTAGATCCAACAAAGCAGGAGAAATGATGTAGAGTGGGTTGGCCTTTTTCCTCGATCGGTTTCGCGTTGCAGTACGTAGCATTGGTGTCTCTCACGAGGAACATGATACATATTTGAAATCAGGATCAGAAAAATTACAGCAGTTCTTGTCTCTGATCAATGGTCTGTCTGCCTGGCTGTGCTGGTCCATCATACTGTACATAGTACGTACGGTACGCATCTACTGTACTGCAGTAATTTGGAAAAMCCAAAAAAATACTGAAAGTAATTCCGACGTAGCTTTGCGGTACGTATGTATTGTACCTCATACTCGTACTCGTACCTTGAGACTGCCAGCAGACAGCAGACAACAAACAAGGCAAGATATACTGGTACGGACGGTACGAGTACGTAGTACGTGTGCATGATGTATGTGCCTCACAAACAAAATATATTGAATCGAACTAGTCAATCAATCGAGAGTAACGAAGATCCTTCAAACCATCCATCAAAATCCGAAACTCGTTCGAACATCAAAATCGAGTCTCAGAACTCCATCACCCGAATCTCTAGCTCTTCAGATATCGAGARRGTTYCGTACGAAGATTTCAGCAAAGAGAGAGAACTATATAGCAATCCGCAAATAACATCATAAATCAAACGACGTCAAGATGGGGAAAAGAGGACCAACGAAGCTGCGCGGTAGTCGTGGGTCTCGAGTAGGAAATATAGAAAGATTCGATTTGATGGTKCCCTTGCCGCAGACCCCGGGGGGTGCATCGAGTTTAGAATGCAAGATCTTGGTAAAAGAAATACGAGAAAGATTAGCATCCATCGGTTTCACGCACATGGCCTTAACACACACAGTTTACGGAAGACCTAAACCAGACGACCGAGCCGATGTCGCCATTCCTAAATCGTTGTGGTCGACTTCGGAGGAWACAGCAAAAAACAACAGGACTAAGAAAAGAAAGCTTAACGTAACGCCGTCTCACTCGAAGGGAGAGGACGAGGCCAACATTTGTGTTTTGCGTAGACTTCATGTGGTTCTCGAAAACCAGTCCGACATGGGGACATATTTGTCGAATGGGCCACAAGAAGACCTGCTTAACGAGTACGACCTTGTTTCTATCTGCCCTACCAATGAAGTTACATTTCAATCCGCGTGTAAGTCGGCTACAATGGCAGACATCATCACGTTGGATTATTCTTCCCGTGGCTTGAAACTTCCCTACCGGATTCGGTCGGCCGACGTCAGAGTAGCTACAGAACGTGGTGCAAGTTTTGAGATTCCTATTGCGCCGGCTTTGCTTCACCTGAAACAACGCAAGGCGTTGGTCCATGCTTGCAAAGAACTCCAAAACAGCAGCCTAGCAACAAAGCCTCGCATCATTGTAAGCTCTGGCGACCGATTGATCGATGGTTCGGATGCTGGTGCCCTGGCACTGAGACTCCCCGGTGATATTTCCAATCTTTGCAAAACAGTAATGCACTTCGATGCCACTACGGCTTGTAACGTAGTTGGATCGGCCGCCATGAAAACTCTGCAACGAGGGAAGGAACGGCGGCTCGGGCAGGCAGGTACTATTTACAATGTGTCCGTAGTCCGAACGAAAGACATGTTGATTTCCAAGCAGGCGGCACAGTCGAGAGGCAAGAGCAAAGGTGTTGAAGAAGAACATAATCATAAGGTAGTGAAGTCGAAAGAAGAAGTCGGCGAGGATTCATCAGAGAGTGATGAACACAGTGACGATGGCTTCATTGGATTATAATCATATTGACAAGCGATACGAAGAGGAAAATCAATGCTACGTGTTCGATACGGTCTTGAGAAGTGATTCATCTGTCGTTACATTCATTACGTCTCGGTCTTAATGATTTCTTATTCTATAGTTTATTTTTGTGTCATCGAAAACAACAAAACGAGAGAGCTGTATTTGTCATTTTCTTGTGTTGAAACCAACCTATTCTGCGACAACTGCCTCGGGGACCTTGAGTTGTTTCAAGGCYTGGGCAGCAGCTTCGATYGTTTCGTCCGTCTTACAGAAAGCAACACGGATGAAGCTATCCGAAACCCCTTCTTTCACTCGATCCAGCGAGAAAAACGGACTCGAAGGTATGCACAACAGACCTATTTCTTCTGCCATCCACTGGCAGAGCGCCCAGTCTTGTCTCGCGATGCCGCCTGGGGCCGCTTCGTTCTCGGCCAGGACGTACCGTTCCGGGAGGACCTTTTGGATTTCGGGTCCGGCCCGTGCYAGAATGAAAAAACCACCGCCGGGGGTTCGCTCGTAATCGGGAACCGCAAAGCCGGCGCTCGTCAGTGCCTCGGCCAGGAGGTCTCGCTTCCTCGTGTATTTGTGCTTCAAGTAGTCATAATACGAGGCGTGCCCCTCGTAGGGGAGCTCGGCGCGGTCCAAAGACCTTGCAAGGGCCTCTTGGATRACAGTCGAAGCGCAAAATTGTACATACGGCAACAATCGGTGAATGGGACTCAGCAGCCGCTTTGGACCGATGCACCTAGATAGATAAGAACGCGACAGGAAATATGAGCAGGAACCAAGATACACACAAGTAGCAAAAGGTAGTACAATAAGTCGACCACAACCTGATACTCTAATTCTGCCCGCAACGGATCCGAAAAAATTCAGCAAACGATGGCAGCAGCAGCGTAATGAGCTTCACGTACCATCCAACTTGCCACCCCGTGGCGGAAAAGGTTTTGCCGGCCGATGATATAGTGATTGTTCTGTCCCACATGCCCGGAAGCGATGCGAAATGCGTGTGCCCCGGACAGAGGGGGGAGTCGGTGCTTGAGTCGGATTCCTTCGGAGGTGCGTGGACAATGTACTTGTACACCTCGTCGGATAGGACCACGCAATCCGGTCCCGCCAGGTCGAGCGACTCCGCGATGACTTCCATTTCGCTCTTGGAAAATATCTTTCCGGTAGGATTGTGCGGAGAATTCAAGATGATGGCCTTGGTGCGCGGGGACACCACTTTCATGAGCTCGTCTCGATCCAGTTTCCACTCCCCTCCACTGGCGTCGTCGTCGTCGTCGTCGTTGTAGGCCTCGAACCGGAGCGGAACGAAGACGGGTGTGCCGCCAGCCAGCTTGACTTGATTGACGTACAGATCAAAGAATGGCTCGAACAGCACCACCTCGTCTCCTGGCTGGACAAGGGTCTGGAGGCTCAAGTACAAAGCCTGGCTCGCTCCAACGGTTACGGCGACCTCGTCCATCGGATCGATCTCCTTTTGCATGTGGATCGAATACCGCCGCGCCAGCTGGTTGACCAGGTTGGGGTGGCCCGCAGGCCGCGTGTACTGGTGTGGAGACTGTGCCGAGTCCAGAACCGCTTCCACCAGGGAATCGACGGCAAACTTCGGGGGCAGCCAGTCGGGGAATCCCTGTCCGAGGTTGACGGGGTCGTGTTCCTGGGCAATGCGACCGAATTCGGTCCATACCGTTGGCCCGGGGTTACCACCAAGGCGCTGAATGGCTTGGCCCGGGGATCCTGACGCCAGCCCCCCTGTGGTTTGGTTCATCTGGCCATCGCTTCTATTCGCTGTTCGAAACGCGTTGTCGTCTTCTCGTCCGCTTTCGCCGTTGGTAGCCGCCAGCGGCCGAGAATTTGAGACGGTAAATCGCTGTTGTCCCCCGGATGCTGCTGGTCCTGCTTGCCGTTGGTGCAGGAGATGGTGGTTCTGGTTTCCTTGGTGAACAGAGGGAACGAACGCCCTGATATCACTGAAACACGACACAATTATTAATCCCACACAGATCGACAGGCCTGGTATTGACCTTCGACGCTSTGAAACACCGACCATCTTGTGCAAGAAATTATATTCTTTCTACCTGCAGACAATGCTGTTTTTCGTTATYACGATTGACTTRAAGTTGGCAATGGTATACAGTGCTTCCTCTTCTGTTTGTCTTATTTTCTGCTTTTGAGTGTAAATAGCTGTGAAGACAAGGAAGGGAAGAATACAAGCAAGATCTGTCAACCACCTGCTTTTCGAATGGATCGATGGATGAGTTGGTCGTTGTCGGAACAATATTCGAGCAGCGTGAAATTTTCGTTGAAAAGAATCCTGAAGGTTTTGGGAGTAAAAATCCTGCTGATGATGACGATGATGATGATGAAACGACGCAGAAAGGCTACGTATGTACTGTACAGTGCGTATTGGCAATGCGCGCATTGCGCGCGACACAACTCTCTCCATAGGTTGATTGATAATTATGACTAGTTTGATTCACTCTATTTGTATGATTGTATAATATCCATACAAGATATAAAAGATAGGATAGTACCGCAAACTWTTGAGGCTCCTTCTGTCTTCTGCTTCTCGCTCCCTGTCAAAAGCCGTCCACAAACTTTTTCAAAAACTATCATGCATCAAAAACACTTAGTGAAACCACGGCAAACCAAAAAGGACCGACGGATCGAAAATGGATTGTTCATCWTCCGAAACAATTCAAAAATACAAAAGTTCATAGTTGGTTGGTTGTGTTCGATTGATCAAGACAGGCAAGCACAGCAGCGATTTCGACCACTAATGTCGAGAAACACACTTTAATATTTCATTTCGATTAGCACAAGAGACACCCACTCAAACATCCCCACTTGCATCCAACAATGAATGGCAACGGCAACGCCACCGGTGATTTGAAGGCTGTGGCATGGGACCCAAAATCTCCGGCCTCACTGTTGGTCCCAACGGTTATTGATGGCTCCGGTGACGACGACGACGCCGGCCAGAAGGAAGACAGCATCGAGCGAATCAGCGGGATGGTAATGAACTATAAGTCGTGCGACGATGGGGCCGGATGCAACTCCTTCGAATCTTCCGCCATTATGAATATGCTCGATGCCCGCGACGATTACCTGGAGAAGGTCAGTAGCGATGCCTCGATGATTGGTTCGAATCACCACCGGGCCCTTCTTTCGCTCTCCAAGGCCTACCGCAAGGCCCTGTCCAATTGCCTCGTGGAGTGGTCGGAGGACATCGAGAAACAAAAACTCGAATCCCAAGAAACCGAAAACGGGACCGAAGTAGAACTGCAGGAGCAAGAACGAGACCTCCTCACGATGACCTGCAGCTTTCTGCACCTGTCCAGTATTTTCCTGCTTTTSCCGAGCCGGCAGGGAGATTCCTCGATGGACCTAGATGGCGGCTTCATGTACGAGGACGAGATTATGGGCCTGCCGGGAGCGGCGACCGCGGATACCGTCCGGTACCTGCGATTGCACTTCCTGGGGGACGCCGCGGAGCTCGTGGATCCAGTGGTATTGGACGAACTCTATGAGGTGCTAGCGCCCGACATGTACGGCGACGAATACGACGGGACCGACGATGGCGGTAGAGGAAACCTGTACTGGGAGCTCATCGAAGGGTACGTCGTTCGGGGCTGCTTGGAAGAGGCTTGGGCCCTCCTTAGCCACCATTCCCTCGTCGGTCAATTCAAAGAACTAGAGGAAGAGGAAGACACACTCAGCGACTACCGAGCAAATTCACTTGCACAAGACAGAGAGGGATTTAGGGCTCTCAAGAATATTTTGTTGTCGGGTCCCCTACCGGGTGGTCGGAACAACCGCTTTGACGAAGGATTCGATTTCGACGACGCAAGGAGCGGAGCCGGCGACGCAGAAGAAGAAGAATTGTTTGACGGGATCTCGACCTTCGCCTATCGTCTATGGGAGACTAGCAGCGAACACGACGGCAGCATCGATGTCCGAGCGGGAGACTATGCCGTCCGTTTTGAACCCAATGCCGCCCGCCAGGTTCATTACTACTGGAAGCAGGCCATAGACGGCCTTCCTGCCCTCAAGCGGTTGCGCCAGCGTATACCCCAGCTCAACCGCCTGCTGACCATGATGTGTGGGAACTTCCGAGATATTAACTTTGGGTCTTGGCAGGAAGAATTCTGTGCGGAACTCCTGTACAAGAACCCCACGATTCGATTGGAAGACATCCACGTTCGGGTGGCGGCGCTGATGCAAAAGCACAAAGCCGACGATGACGCGAACAGATTCGACGAAACGATTTTGACCATCATGAAGGGCAATGCCGGTGAAGCAGTATCCGCCATGCATTCTGTGGGGGGCAATAGCGGGGCGGCACTTCCTGCAGTCATGGTATGTATCCAACGCCGAAGAGATGGCGATGGTGTACGACCGGGTCGAGCAACGCATCACATATTTTAGGCATGCAATATGTTTCATCCAAATTCGATACTTTTGGATCTGGCCTGTGTCCCTATTGTAGTTTTTTTTGTACATGCCGATCCTATTTCACGCAGAAAATATCAATTCTTCTCACCATATTTTCCGATTGTTGTGCTTGCCATCTTTCGCATTCTTCATACTTCACTAGACATCCCTTCTACTTCAATTGTTAGCAGACGCGAAGGTTTTGGAATACAACACTGAAAATACCAATTACAGTACAGAGCTTTTGATCCGTGCCTCTTCTGCAATTCGGTCCTCGCTTGGCATGGAGGGCCATTGTGACTTAGGAACCCGGCTTGCTGTTCGATTGCTTTTGCCACACATCGAAATTGACAGTGATTTACGAATCACGGCCACCCTTGTCAATRCACTTGAGCACCACTTTCCCAAGACAGATTCAGAAGCGAAGATCCTCCTATCGCTATGCCGTAATCTAGTCGAGCGAAAGAACGTTCGCGTGTTGGATGGTTGCGTTTCGATCTGTCTTGCTCGGCATCTTTTCTACATTGGCAAAAACATACCGGGCGGTGCCGTCCACTGGCTCCTTACTGGAATTGAATTCGAGTCTCTAGTCCTTTGCGACAGACCCAAGCGATCCGGGGATTGGCAAAAAGCCCTGGCGTCCGGCGTTTGCTATAGAAAATTGGTGGCTTACTTTACAGGCACATCACAATCCTTTTTGAAAGGGTTACTCGGCGAAGAAAAGGGAGCTTCGCTATATTATGCACGATCTGGAGAGATGATCGCGGCTACCAAAGAAGATTCACCTAATCATATCAACAATCTTGCTTCCTTTGTTCCTGCTGTCAATGTGCTCGAGAATATCTTTTTGATTGCGGGTGCTATCGTCGAAGGAAAGGACGACTCCGTTGTTGCAAGTAGCATTGTCTCTTGTCTTGAAGAGAGACCGGATGACGAAGACGACGGAGTAGTATCCTCTCTGGCGCGGTCGTTGAATTGGGACCTCTTCCGGTTAGGGGTAGATATCTTGAAAAGGGATGCCGAGAACGCAAACAACACWAGATCAATCTCATCGTTCGATCCGAGAGGAATKGGGGTCCTTTTGTCTGTTTTTACCGTCGAAACAAAGGCTCGTGAATTGASATCGCAGAACGAGGTGCTCTCGGAAGCTGAAGACAAAGAACTACGAAATACAAGATTGATTCTTGCGGAAGGCCTCAAGCGAGCTTTTGTTGCCGAGAATTCCATGAAGAAGACGGCGATGAACAGAAGAAAAAAGGCTTCGGTCGAGGGTATTTGTTCTCCTAACTTTTCCAAGTACAGCCGGGAGCAACAAGAAGAGGCCGTACAGCGAATGTTGGAATACTGAAGCAGAGGAAGACTTGACTTCAAGTAACATGAAAAAGATTTTCTATCCTACGCAACTTCTATAGCGCTCATCTTGTCGAATGATTGTCGTGAAATAGAATCAAAAACATTTTGAGAAGGAGAGATGTATGRAACACTTTGATGTCCCAACGCTAAAAAGGAGTTTGCGGGGCGATTACTGTATACATTGAATATCTACAGCGTAGAGTAAAAGATTGAAAGTCATAGCGCACAAGAACCTCGCATTAATTCTTAGTACACAGGATGTAGGGGGTTATACAATTCCACTATCTATTCAAGATAATTTACTCAATGGTGAAACCGTCAGCGCAAACATCTCCTTGCTTAGAAGCTTCGGCGATGAAAGCCTTTCCTTGAGCATTGTAGGCCTTCTTGGCAGTTCGTGCAGCGCGCTTCTTGCTCAAGAGAGCAGCCTTGTTAGCTTCACGGTCCTTCTCAGCCTGTTGGGCCATGCGTCTCTTGTTGGCAGCGTGGGCATCAAGTTTCTCAAGAGCGACAATGGATCGCAGAGGGTTGGCCTTGGGTTCGAATGTGGCAGAACCGTCCTTGGCGGGGTTGAGGACGGATTGGATTTCGTCGGAGTTGATGATACGGGCAAGGTCGGCGTTGGTCATTGCGGCAGCAGGAATGCGCTTTCCGGATTCTCCGTAGATAGTATCCAACTTGTCGAGGGCGGCCTGGGACCAGACGCAGAATCGTCCCATGTGTCCACCGGKGGCGAGTTGCAAGATGTTCAAGCGGTCGACGCAGCAAAGCTCGACACCGGGAAGGTTGCGGAATGCTTGTTCGATTCCATCGTTCTCGGCGTAGACAACAAGAGGTCCACGTCGCATGACGTAACGTCTGTTACGCATCTTACCCTTACCGGCACGGATCTTCTTGGAGTCTCCAGCCTTCTCGACATCATCGAGGGCACCGACGGCGGAAAGGATGTCCTTAGCGGCCGAGGTCTTCTTAGTGGATTCGACAGAGGTGTCCAAGACAAGAGGAACTTCAGGGACATCATCGACAACGTGTCCACGGGCCATGACTAGGGCAGGGACAGCAGAAGCAGCCAAGGCAGAGGCGACGGCGTATTGCTTCTGGCCAATGTTGACCTTCTTGTGCCACTTGCGCCAGGTCTTGGTGGGAGCGAACATGCGTCCTCCACGGCACATGTTTCCGAAAGCTCCTTGTCCGGATCGGGAGGTACCTCCTCCTCCGACACGGGGAATACGGGCAACGGCACGTCCGGTACCCCACGAGGAAGCAGAAACCTGCTTTCCGGCTCGGATGGAGACAGCGTACGCTTGACGCTTGTTCTTGTTCACATTGGTGTGGACGAACTGGACAATGTCGGGACGGAGAGGAGCCGTCATGACAGCGGGGAGAGTGGTCTCTCCGGACTTGTCTCCGGAGAGGGAGAAAACGCTAACGAGAGGACGGGCGGCCATGGTGGAAATTCGGTGTAGAGGAGGTGTGTGCTCGAAACWGATGTTGSTAGAGAGCTAAGATTGGCTTCCAAATAGAGCTTTGAGCTGTTGCCTCACGAACCACGGACAATTGAGTGAATTCTAAGTAATCGGTATGGAGGTATTACGGCCAGCGGCCAGACGTTTCAACAAACGAGACAAAAAAMCAGATTTTTTTGGATTGACGTCAAGTGTGCACTAAATCCGACTGGATCGACCCAAAAGGTTTGCAGTGCTGGGTGCTGGTGCCAATAGTACGAGMACTCGTATGAACGTACGTACCGTAATCTATTCTACAGAGATGATGGAAAACAACAATTATTGTTGATGAAACTTGAATATTTCATGCCAGTACCATTAGATCAGATCTCTTCATTGATCAGAACGAAACAGGAAAAACTTGAACTCTTTACTATGGGATCTCGCTCATATGCAACAATTTAAAATCCGCTGCGAAAATGATGTATCTTTCTTTCAGTCGTAGGACTCGTAAACAATGTTTGTGGAAGAAAACAACATGTTTTGCGGTCTGGGTCCTCCTCGTCATGAACAAAAATATCACTTTCCGGTTTGCCAATGGTCTGTCCACATCGAAATCCAGACGTAATGTTGAAGGAGGATCTGAATCGTTTCCGTTCCGTCGTAGCGGAAGACGTGGGGCAATGCCAACCACGAGGAGGCAACAATCGGGTCCAATCAATTCGAAAAAGGAACAAACGGTTGTCATCCTCTACAACAAACCTCCAGATGTGATTACATCGCATGAATCCCAAGACTTGAGATCTACTGTTTACGAAGACATACAAAGTATGAGAGGATATCTTCCGAAAATAAATGGCAAAAGCGAAAAAAGAAGCCAACCTATTTCTTTCGAGGAAGCTACAGGGATTCGATCTAAACTTCATGCGATCGGACGGCTCGATGCCGATACGACCGGTCTCCTTCTTCTAACCAACGATGGGAGATTGGTCCATCACATCACCAATCCAAATTCCAAAACGGAAACACACGAACACTACGATACTTCAACAGGCACGACAGCCGCAACTATCAGCAAGACATATCAAGCGTTGATAATGGGACACCATACTGAAGAATCATTGGAACCGATTCGCCGCGGTGTTGATATTGGGAAAAACTACATCACGAAGCCACTCCTCGAGGAGAGTGATCTGCAGGTACTCGAACACCCAAATCACAAATCGACAATTGTATCAATTACCATTGGTGAAGGAAAAAACAGACAAGTTCGAAAAATGTTCCATGCAATTGGATCGGGAGTCATGAAGCTCAAACGCACACGAATCGGGGACCATTTGACCCTGGACGGGGTGGAAGGTACGTAAAAAGATGAATGTTTCAAATTTGATCTATCTATTTTCTTAATTATGATAATGACGACAGCAAGCCGGATTTGTTTGTATGCTGCGATAAATGAATTCTTATCATATATCAACTTGATGGCGTGTTTCATCGTATGGCATTCATAGAAGGAGAATGGAGAGTGATGGAACACACAGAGGTCCAGCGCTATTTAAATTGGAACACAAGGGATCTAATCGACATATCGYCATCCACCAATTCGCCACCGAGAGCCAAACGACGACGGAGCGGCTCCGTAAAAGCGAGAAGAAAGCTGAGAAGATATTAGCGACACAATGGTGATCATCCACCTTGCTTTTATACCCTACCGTAATGTTTGCCGCTGCTCTAGTTTAATGTGCGATTAACAATTACCATTTCATCGTTCTCTTTCGTGATTGATTCATTTCTGCGTTGCGCCGCAAAATTGGTTTTTTGGGGGGCTATTATAGTAGTATATGTTTTCTGTGATCAGAAATCTAATTTTGATAGGGTACAAAGTGAAGGTTCAGGAGACAGTTTGACATGCCAGCTCTATTGCGATATCTTTTATGGCCCGGTGGAAATTGAAATCACGTGACTCTACAAAAAGTAATCGGGCGTTCTCGTGCTCTTGTGCCAATTTTCGTCTCTAGGTGCGGGGTCGAACTGTGAAAATTTGCAGTGATCGTGGACGGTGTCCTTCGTTGTCTGGTCGACGAAATCATCGACTTCCATGATAGCTGCTTGATTTCCACATCTGTAACAATAGTTGGGGGCAGAGAAAACAGTCACGACCTGTCTGTTGTGCTGCCACTGGTATCCTTCCATGACAAGTTGGTGCGCACGAGAAACAAAATGGAGGCCGTTAATGTGGCAAAATTGTTCAGTAATGTCTTGCCCGAAGGTGTAACCTGCTCCCCTCGGTGAGATACCCCATCCACATCTTCCAATTTGAAGATGAGTTTAGTATCGGGAAGACCAAAGACATCATGATAAAACGACAAAAGGTAGAAAAACAGAAATGAGCAATAAAATTGATGTAATGTTTGAAGTTGAGGCGTTGAGTACCGTACTGCAGAGGAATAAATACAAACGAATTTCTTCACCTGTCATCTGGATCAGACCACACTAAATCGCACATCGGACCTTCGTGTGGTACTTCCTGCACTCTATCAAGATCACGCGCGTGATCTAGAGTATCAATAGAAGGGGACAAACCACCGTGAAGACAGAATATACGATCGGCAACCACAGCAGTCATTGGGAGGTAATCAAAAGTGTCCGTAAAATTTTTCCAAACGTTCGCATTCCCGTATTTCCGAAGGCACTCGTCATAGAATCCATAAACTTGGGTGATCTGACGGCTTTCGTGGTTTCCCCGAAGAATCGTAATGCGATTCCTATATCGAACTTTCAAGGCTATGAGAAGGGTTACCGTCTCCAACGAAAAATACCCTCTGTCAACGTAATCACCCATTAGCAAATAATTAGATTCCGGACACCTGCCTCCGATGCGAAACAGTTCTAGCAAATCGTAGAATTGACCATGGATATCACCGCAAACAGTGACAGGAGCAGACACAGCTTGGACGTTGGACTCGTCAGACAAAATTAATTTTGCCTTCCGCAAGAGGAGATGAAATAATTCGAAAAGGCCCATGAAGAAATTCAAACGAAGAAGTTGAGTTTAGTTAGCTTCAACTCACAACGGCGATGATAAGCCGCCAATCCACGGCAGACAGGAACATGGTGATGGGATATCCTGGAATCATGCCAATCGTTTATGGCGACATATTTAAATCATTTTTCAATATGACAGAGTGAAAAGGCATAAGCAAGGAAATAGACATCATTTTGTTTGACTTTGCTCACCTTTTCACACAATATCTTCACTTCATTTTCAGATAATGTATTTCCTTTGCGGAGCCGTTCGATCTGCATGTCAAGTTCTGCGTTAGAGTTAGCTGACATTGTACGATATTATATTTTTCTGAAGGAGGCTCGTAGTTTTGGTATCTATGAATACGGATAGTTCTGTTTCTGTTCACCTAAGGATCCAAGGTCGTACGTCTTGTTGTATGGTCGGACTGATTATAAATGTACTCAGAGGTTGCTGCTGCGTACCGTAACACCTTCAATTTCCGATACAACCGAAGAAGAGATGATATCAACGTTTCGATTTAGTTTCTACTGGCTACCCGTGTTCTGTTTGGAGGGGCAGCAGAAAGCAAATCTTCCTGTTACAAACTAGAGATATTCTTTTATTTTTAGTTCTATTTCTTATATCAATTTTTCAGTCGAAAATTTCTACTCTCTTCCTGACGACCGTGACACGGCACGGAAACCATCAAAATAGGGAATTTTGGCATCAATAATTGTGCCGTTCTTCTTTATGAGAGGATTTAGCTAAYGAAAAACCCTACAGTAACGCAGGGGTCATAATTTAGAGGGGAGCGCATCGAATCGAAACTCATATTCCACCTTCGGTCCAAATTTCCAAAAAGTCACACAAGGATTTT